TGACTTGCACAGCGTGGAGTGCACCATTATGAGGACCCCGGCTCCCTTCTCCCCTGTGGAACCAGAGCTGATCACGTGCCAACCTGACTTGCTGAATTGCCAAGAGCCCCTCCAGTGCGTTTCCTGGATTGCTACCAGCTTCACATCCTGAAATGCGGCACTTTGCAGTACGGAGAGTAACTCTTCCCAAACTGCTGTTGTAAGAGATCCTGCGTTCCAGGATAGATAGCTGAGATTCTTATCTTCTGTAAATTTCGAAGGCCGAGTCCTTTTGCCGGGATTGGTGGGCTTTACATGTGCCGGAGCAACTCCAAGCTCTGTTGACGACATCGTCCTTCCCTTGTAGACCGCACTACCTTCAAGCAGAGCTTTACGTGCTGCCCTTTGATAAGAGCGTTTACCCTTCCCTTTAGGAACGGGCTGATGCTTGGTCGAACCACTAGGCTGTTTCGCAGCACTCATGTTGAGTACGGCTCCTGTCGGCTTCGCAATACCGACAACCCTCACCTCTGGGAGATGTTAGAGAGCTGTAAGTCTAGTACTCCCTCCCGGACTTGGGACCGGGACTGCTCAGGCGCTGACAAATGCCATGGCAAGAAAGGAAAAAGGCAACTGTACCAGCCTGACCTTTCCTGAGCCGAGAGGCTTTCAACAACAGCAACAGCAACAACAACAACAACAGCAACAGAAACAGCAACAGCAACAGAAACAGCAACAGCATTTCATTCACACGCAGCGGGGGAGGACTGTCTGTGGTGAAACTTATCGTCCACGCTTTGCGAGGGATCGACCTAGTGCCCTGCTTACTACTTGCGCGGTCACTCTTCACGGCAAGCCGTGCCTCAGCGCTGCACTTGCACACGCTCCGCCCCTCAGGGCTGCAAGCTGTGAAGTGGAAAGCGAATGCGTCTTCAGAGTCTTATGCGGCTTTATGAGTTCGGCACTAGCTTGAAAGCTAACCGGCTTTAAAAACCCCTGGGGAGAACCTCCACCAGCTGTACATCCCTCATTGGGGGAGAAACTCCACCAAAAACGAGGGGAGAAACTCCACCTGATGCTCTCCTACTGTTTAAAAACCCCTGGGGAGAAACTCCACCAGCTGTACACACATGGCAAGGGGAGAAACTCCTCCGATTGTTGGGGAGAGTCTCCTCCTAAGGGAGCATCTCCGCGAGGGTGTTGCCACTGTTCCCATTTTGGTTTCTGGCTGCTCCATTCCCTCGGCCTCCGCTTCCTCGTCCCCTGCCTTTGCCCCCTCGCTGTTGTCCTCTGCCTCGTTGCTGGGGAGTACCTCCACCACGCTGTCGAACAGCAACAGCAACAACAACAACAGCAGCAACAGCAGCAACAGCAGCGACAGCAGCAGCAATGGCAACAGAAAGAGCGATGACAGCGACGACGGCGCTGATGATGATGAAGAAGAAGAGGAGGAGGGCTCACGAAAAAAAGATGCTGATGCTGATACGAACGGTAACAGCAAGTTGAACTTCTGCACCCAGAATGACACTAACAAGACGCAGAATCTCACGACAAACTGAGCATCCTCTGCCCGCCAATCTGGATCATCGATGCGCCGGCGCGGCGGGCTCCGCCGTACCTTGTCGCTTGAAGGCATAGCTTTCGTTTAATTGACTGCCATGTGGTTGGACTGAGACTGTGTGAAGATCAACACCTTCGGTATGCGCGTGCTCTGGAAGCACGTGGAGGGCATGCTGGCCAGGACAAAAGACCAGTCGACGGACTAATTCTGCCACACCCTGACGAAGTCTGATCAAACTCACAAGCCGGCCTCGCTTCCGTCGATTCGGAAGTGGTCCACTCTAAGGGAATCGAGTTCTCCACCGACGTGCGTCAAGGTCTGCTGCAAGGTTTTGCCTGGGTCGTCGAGAGCACAGTCCAGAAGCTTGTCATGATGTGCCCCATCTTTTTGTATGTATGTGTATACACGTATGTGGGTGTATATATAAGCACCTGTCTATCTATCTGTTTATCTATCGAACTATCTATCTGTGTATATGTACCTAGTAGATATAGATATGCAAAAGCATATGCATATGGATTCGATGTAGATATAGATACTCCTTTAAATATAGATGCAGATACTAGATAAAGCTGTAGATGTGAGTACAGACAAAGATACAGACATAGATATAGATAAAGATATAGCTATATATATATATATATATATATATTTATTTATTTATAGATACAGATAGAGATATAGATATGGTCAGGCGTCTGGCGTTCCCAGCCCCCCGCCCGCCCCCCCAATGGTATAGTCTGGTACGGGCCGTGGAGGGGCGGCCAAGGGTCACAGAGAGGGCCAGGATCGTACGCAATGCCTACGCAAGCCATAAACCCTATAACGTAGCGCAGTAGCACATGCTCCTGCTTTTATTAGCCTTAACCTTTTCTGTAAACCCTACACCCAACCCTAAACTCTGCCTAAATGCAGGCTCTAAGCATACAGCAGAACATAAACCGTCCACTCTAACGAACCTACACCCCAAACCTTCCCAAGCCCTTGTCGACTCGAAGCCTTACCTTGTAACCCTAAACCCAAAACTCAAAAGCTTAAGCCAAACACAAAACCCCAAAACCCCCACGACCACACCACAAAAAAAAAGACGGACCCACACCACCCCACAGGGGGCAGGGGTCATCCTGGACCATAGACCATGGGGGGCGCGGGCCGCGGAGCGCGTAACCAGATATAGACATGCGTGTGGCGTTGTGCTGCCGAATTCCTTATCTCGATCAGCTGGGAGATGTCTGTTGGGATAGTTCACCACATCTCCGGATATAACACGTTTAGAGATTCCAGCCTCCGTGTTTCTGCATTTTCAAATTCGCACCCTCTGTAGATACAGAAGCCGGAAGTCTGGAGACTGTAGGAATCTGGAACATGAAGACTTCGTGACAAATATGGAATCTGGATTGGGTCCCCGGCCTTTAGAGATTCACGCTCCGCCGAAAGGCAGCAATCATCTCTTGCTTGGAGTGTCATAATTTGAGCAGGCTGCAATGGAGGCGGTGCGCCTCCTTGAGGTCAAACGTGGCTTTCCTGGGCCGTCGGGGTGAAATTCTGCTCTCATGCACCCCCTCGTGTGCATGTGCGACCTTGCGCCTCTGCATCATGGCCAGTAAACAGAAGCAAGCGCACTCCGCGTCTGCAGTCGTGGTGGGAGGGTACGTGATAAGGCATTCGCATGAACGCTTCCGGCCTTGCCAGCCTTGCTGTCTCTCCAAAGAAGCACGTTCACTCTCTGGCAGCACATGCAGCTGCCACACAAGCTGTTGTGAAAGCGTATAGCCCTACACAAACCTCAACACTGCTTCGGCCCTGAGCTGCCATGAAGGCTGCCGAAGTACTCTGCAGCCTTCTGGCACTGCTCCAACTCTACTTTAGGGAGAGTTGCTGTAGCCGGAAAACTACTGCAGCCAGGTCCGTTTCAAAGTTGATCATGATCAAGCCCACGCCAAAGGACTGCGGCACTATGACGCCATGATAGGACGGCTGATAGAACGGAGGGGATCTGAATCTGAGGCCGAGAACTCCTGAAGTAGAACTACTGCCCTGAACCCTCAAATTCAAACGCCTTGCCTTCAGCCAAGACGCTGCAGCTGCTCCCGCAAGATCGCTTCCAACTTGCGACTGGCGCTGTCGCAAACGTGCCTAAAGAGCAAAGGGAGGCTCGGAGACCGGAGGCTGACAGCCTCCGCTGGAAGAGCTGCAGTCAGGATTCTGGAGCCGATGGCTGGTGAACTCCGAAAAGGTCATGCCATCCATGTCGATGATGCTCATGACGAGGAGACCTGGAAGGACCGCAATTCTCGTGGCTCTCCACTCAAGTTTGACTCAAGTTTTCTCCCTCGTGGAGAAGGCAAGCTTCATGGCGTGGCGATGTTTCACTACAGGTCTGAACCCAGGCACATGACTCTGTGCCGAAGCATCTCGCGCAACGCGAGCTCTCTCAAGCCAAACCAGGTTGAAGGACTTCAATCGTCAGCCCGAGTGACGGCGATGTCTGCTCGGAAGGCTATGCTAGCCAAACACAAGAAACACAGCGATCAAGCTGTTGCCGGACGCCAAGCAGTTAGAAACCCTCAAACACCATCCCCGCTCACGTTGAGTCATTCCGAAATGAAATGTCGATGTGTGTTCTTGCTCCAATCTCCTTCACGATGCATTGCACGCGTGCATAGGAGTTGCCAGTGCCTGATTCGTGACAGCCCTTCTGGTACAAAGCCTATCCCTTCAGTCTCACGACACTAAACAGGCAGGCCTTTCCGAGACGCCGCCGCAGGGCGGCAGGTGTCGCGCGCTATCAGGGTTTCGGAGTGCGGAGGGAGGCTAAATTGCAAACCTTAGGTTGGGCCCCTTGGGCTCCCACCTCCCACCTGCCGCAGCCTGAGCCTGCAAGAGACCTCTAAAATGCTAAAGTTGGCATGATATGCAGGGCGGAAACATTGCGTGCGCGAAACTGTCTGAGGCCGTGTGAGTACTTGATGGTTGCGCTTGACGGGCCTTGTAATATCGTCCGTAAGTCTGCCCTCGCCCTTTCTTGGGGCCCACGGACTAGAAAGTTGAGCATGGACACTTAGCTATCAAACCTGAACACCAACCAGTTTGCCCCCGTGAGACGGGCCGACTGAGCCGTTGCAGCTGCGATTTGCAAGAAGACCGCAGATGCAATGCAGGTATGAATTTCAGAATCTGCATGCAACGCAGTACCGGTAGACGATAGAGACTTTCTGACGAGACGTCCAGAACGGCTTGGCTGACAAATGAACGAAAGCTGCAACCTGCAAGTCTCAGATAACTCGACGCTCACGGACGGCAGCGTCTGAAGTGAGCTGAACCTGTTGGTCTCTCACACCTCGCCAAACACAAACCTAGCAAAGGAAGGGAACGCACTAAATCGCTCACCTGCCTGCCTACCAACAAGAGTGTCTGAAGCCATCGGCACCGGAAGCAAAAGCGACACAGCGGGCTGCACCAACGCAGGACACGCAGGACGGCTCCGAGAGGTACATGTTCAAGTCGCCGTGGACCGAGTATCTCAGCCTGGGATAAGGACTTTAGAACCGCGCCTGGGCGAGTATAAGTATCAAGCCCTAAATCCTATAATGAACCCCTACCAAGCCCTGTAAAGCCCTACAAAGAACTACAAAAGACATCCAACAAAGCCCTTCTTTTACGCACAGCACCCCAGAAAACCCTATGCAACCCATGCAACCCACTAACACCCTTCTGAAACCCAGCAACACAACCCTGGCATAAAACTTGCGATACACCTTTAGGGGTTTAGGAGTTTAGGGTTCAATGGTGTAGGAACAGGGCTTAGGCAGCAGGTTGTCCGTTCCGGTAAACGCATGAAACCCTACAAAGGAGCCAGGATGCCTGGGGTGCAACAGAAACATGGCTAGAAGTCTTGTGCAGGCTTGGGATGCATGTTTTGTCCTTTCCGACACACACACACACATGGCCCCGATGACTCGGTAAATGTCCGCAGCTGCACGTGAGCAATAACGGGACTGCAATGTGCACATAGATGTTCAGCAAGACCTGGACAGCTTGAGGACAGCGCTCCGGGCAAGTCAGATCTATGCCCGAGCGGTGGAGAAGTTCACACACCTGTGCAGATCAGCGGTTTGTGAGTGAGTCGTGCAATTTTGCTTCCGGCATTGCACATACTGCAGGAACTTCGCCTATGACATCACATGTGAAGAGACAGGAATATGCTACATGCGAGACGTTTCGACATATTCAAAGTCGGAGAACCGAGAAGGCAACGAACCGAAAGTACTTCATGTGCTAAACTTTCCGTTTTCACCTCAGGGCAGAAGTATTGCTAGCTCGCAGCGTGGCTACGCAGAGAAGACGACTGCGGCTTCTTGACATCATGGGTCTGCACTGGATGCGCAGGCTGCTCACGGGCACCTCGCCAAGAAGCTGGAACTCCGCGCAGAGGCTCCTGCATCAAAGCCCAACCACCGCCTGAAACTTAGCGGGCGCACCACTACAAGCTGAGACGACTGACCCTTTGGAGTCTCGCAGGTCTTGATTTGTGTCCTCCCAGGAACAAAAAGCGCGCTCCTGTCAACCCACTTGCTTATGGGCAGCTGCACAGCCTCTGAGCTCGGCGAAGAACCATCAAAGAAAAAATGTAGGGAAGGAAGAAAACTCCGAACAGACGTAAGAGAAAAGTGGCGGCATTTGCAGCCAAACAACAAAAGACTGTCCAGAGAGCATGCGGCAGCAGCAGAAGATAGTGGAAGCAGCAGTAGCAGTAGCAGGACATCAGCAGCAATACTGTGGATGGCCAAAGCAGCTCGCAACTTTTCGGACAGGTGCGGTTCGATGCTTGCGGGCGATTGAAGCATGCATGCACAAGTCTTGCAAGATTTCGTCCCCCCGCCGTGGTAGTTATCGACATGATAGCAGGAATCGAAAAAGGCAACGGCAAACCAAGAAAAAACAAGAACACTGCTAAGAGTAGTGGTTTGGGCAGACACACTAGCAACGATGTGCTATCGGCGTGTTCCCAGCTTGAGGCTTCTGGCATAAGTAGCTGAAATCCCAAACCACAGTTCTTGCAATCCATGCTCCAGGCGATCCAGAGAACAGAGCCGAGAAACTGCAAAAGGTGCGAACTCGTTTAACGACCGACAACCTTGAAAATCCATCTTTAGCTGGAAACATGCAATGGTGACCGGGGTCTCGACACAGAGCCACGGGCGGAATGTAAACCTCGAGCTTTCCTACTTGAGTTTTTGCAGCGGCTGGCTCTAAGATGAAGAAGCTCGCTTCTGTCTGGCTTTGAGGATGTTGAGCACATGTGTGCCAACTCTTAGTCTGTGCTGAGGGTTTCGGAGCACTCTTCCGTGGAAGTGACGAAGCACAAATCCAGCAAATCTCGAGTTGTATCCAAGAGAGTCAGGCGCAGAAACATGAGTCTCCAAGCGCGCCAATCGGTAGCCTTGTAGGTCCAGGTGCACGAAACCCGAGCGCTTCAATCCGACACCTGCTCGAAACTTCAAATCGACTGGGTCTCCGAGTCTCAGGCTCTGGGTCGGCATGAAGTCCGTTCAGCTGGAACATGGTTCCTGGAGCATCGGAGAAGTGTAGAAGAAAGTTGCAAGGAATAATGACACTGAGACACTGAGTAGTCATGCCATCTATAATCCGGCGAAGAGGCTGGAGGGTTGGCCACGGAGCTCTTGGCGCAGGACGTCACACCGGGCCTTCCAAGAGGCTCTTCCCTGGCAGGAATGTGCTGGCAAAGGAGAACTCGGCCTCGGGAGGACTTCTCGTTCGGAAATTAGCAGACGCAAACTAAGCTGGTAATCGAATTCGTGTTCTTGCATACCGCATGCTTCTCCTGAAGTTGCAGCAGGAACGGATACCTTTCGCGGTTTGTTTACTTCTCGCTCTGGGACAGGAGCCAAAATATCTTGAGGGATGAAACCAGCGACCAAGAAACATGCATTGACGCGTTGCTCAGATCTCCTACACTCCAGTCACAGACCTGACGCAATCGGCTGCGGCACTATCGCTTCGCCCGCTGACATGCTGTACATCGTGCTGCTCAGGCACAAAGGCATAGATGCGACGATGCGCCGTCTGTGCCTCCAAAGATATGTCAGAAATAACAGTTCACGAAACAGCTGCAAGCACAGGCCTCGCACGGTGACGCCAAGCGAAAGCAAGCAAACACAGGCAGCAACAACCTGCATTCATCTCGTAGCGATTACCAACAACTGCACTGACGTTAAGTGGCACACGAGAGAGAAGCTCTACAGTAGGGCCGTCAGCACCAACAAAACAGCAAGATCTCAGTGATGATCGCTTCGAAGCTGATCAGAACCCAAGCAAAACTTGCTGAACTCTGAAGACTACATCGCTGAACCCTGCAGTTCCACAAGTGGGCACCTTCCAATCGGACGAAACTGTGCCGACACCTGACTCCAACAGCTCAGGCTTCACGGGTTCTGTGGTAGATGTGGTCGTTGGTCGGCTTCCGCGCGTCTATTACGACTGCTACCATTCCTCCATCACGAAGCACACTACACATGTCAGCTGGTGCGAAGGGCCGTCAACCTGCAACAGTCTGTTGTCACAAGTGTATGTGTTTCTCTGCGCGTGTGTGCGAAGTTTGTGCTGATCTACGGGTATACAGATCTATGGATGGATGGATGGATGGATGGATGAATGGACAGACGGACGGACTGGATGGATGGATGGATAGATGGATGGATGGGGTTATAGATAGATGGATAGACAGGCACCTATGTAGACACGGTAGATGGGGTAGATAGGTAGATAGGTAAGCAGAAAGGTACACGGATAGATGCACAAATAGATAAACAGATTTAGATTAATGGATGGCTGGTTTGTTGGATAGATAGAAAGAGAGGGTACATAGATAGGGTACATAGGTCTTATACATAGGTAGATAGGTAGATAGGTAGGTAGGTAAGGTAGGTAAGGTAGGTAAGGTAGGTAAGGTAGGTAAGGTGGAAAGATAGGTAGGGTACATAGCTAGGTAGGCAGGTAAGTAGATAGGTAGCTCGATTCATAGATAGATAGACAGACAGATAGATAGACAGGTGCGTAAACAAATCTGTGGGCATACCTAATTAGATGTTGCTGTAGAGGCATGTTAAACAGATTGACGGAGGTAGGTACAGAAGAAACCGGCATGCATGTGCTGATGCACTTACGGGCATGTCCTGAGATTCTCCACCGACTTTGACCATCCTCACAGTTACACATGCAAAGATGGGCTATGCTCCGAGAAGCTAGAGCTACTCCCCCACCATTTTTTGAAGAGTGGTCCTGTCTCTGTACCAGCCCAGCATGACATTGAGAGCGCAGGGCCTTAGGCCGCTCGGCTCTCAAATCTCTTTTCCTTCTCCACGAAAGGACTTGTCCAAAGTATTCCGGAAGTCGTGAACAGAGAAGCGCGAGTGCTCCGAACACTTGCTGCAGTCAATCTCCACGAGGTATCACTGTCGCAGCCGGAGGCAGACGGGCTTTTGGGCCAGGCTCTGCAAGATCTCGGGTGGAAATGGTGCCAGCGTGTCTCGTCTATCCGGGCGGACCGGCTGACTGAGCCTAGAGGTCGTTGGGCTCAGGCTGTTGAGCCATGTCAAGGACCTCCAGTTTGTCGCCTTCTTCCAAGTTTAAGGAAGCACAGGTGTCACTGCGAGCGATGCGGCGTCCTTCGAAGAGAAACTGAACCATCCATGGCGCCAGCTCCTTCCGATCGCACCAGACATCCATCAAAACGTCCAGGGAGCGGTGCTCTGCCAATCTAAACCACAGCTCCGAGCCCTCGTAGAGAGCACAGATTGTTAAGTCGCGGTTGTGATTGATCACTTCGAGGCCCGGTTTGGCCTTTCGGATAGCTTCCCAGCCACGCACAGAGTCCACCCGGGATGCAAGACCGAGGCACCCCACTGCCGTCAAGGTCTTGAGAGAAGGACACCTTCGGATGGCGTCCACCATCGCAGCTGCAGTTAGCTTCTTGCACCCGGAGACATCGATTGACTCCAGCTTCGGGCACCTCCGACTCACCGCCTCAAGGGTTGCATCAGATATTTCTCTGAGAACGGCCGATGTCTGTGCCGTCAACCATCTGAGCATGTCGGCCTGCCAGCTCCTGCTAAGCTCCATCAGCTTGATGGCCAAGGTGACATCTACCCAACCCAGTGCAAAAATCTCGGCCACCGATGGTCCCATCGTTGTTGGGACAAGGCACTAGCTGGCTTGAGGCATACACGTGCACAGTCACCTGAGGTCACATGGACGGCAGCAGCATCACAAAGAGGCAATGGCTCAACACTCCACACCACCCCTGGACCCCAATTGATACCGTCGCCAAACCCCAAGCCAACGAGGGCACCTTCAGACCACGCTCTCAGGAAGCGCTTCACCTCACACAACCATGCCTCCTGGCTGCATTCAGTTTGAATCTCGTGACGTGGAGGCAGCGGAGGCTGCTAGGCTACGTTTTGCTACCGTCTGCCGTCCTCTGCCCGGCCGATGCCAAGTTGGTTCATCAGGCAGCGGCCTGGAGATCCACCACGAGTCCGGAGTGCGAGTTCCGATCTCCTACGGCTCCCGCACGCCTCCGATCTTGCCGAAGTTGTCCACACCGAAGCCCTGGATGCTCTGTGCGTATGCCTCCTGGAAAGTTTTGGCAAGTATACGCGCCGAAATTGCAGGTCGGAGTTTGGCAAGCTCAAGTCAAGGTCATGATTCCCGGCATGCACCACGACGTAGACTTCCAGACACATCGCCGTAGATTTCGCAGCCTGTCCTTGTCAACCACGGGAATCTTGGACCTCTCCTAAGCAAGCACAAATACCTTCAAGCCTCAGGCCTGTCTCCGTGAAGACCCTAGCTGGCTCATAGTGCACAGTCTACTTAGTCTACCTTAGCATTTCTTCGGCTGGTTACTCTGCACCAAATGAACCGACGAACATTTCTGAAGTACTCCAGGTAGAACTAGCGACAAGACTGTCTCATGTTCGGCTGCACGTTGGCACAAGACGCAAAACAAATTCTCAGTCTTCAAGAAAGTAATAGCAGCCGCAACACCGCTGGAACAACCATGAAGCTGCTGAGGCATCCACCTTGGAAACAGGCAGCATTGGAAGTGGACCCTCCTGGATGGGATGGACGAGTCTCGGTGTCGGTCGGGGATTTGGGCTCAGAGCTGGATGTTTAATTACCAACACAGACACACGGCCGCTCTCCTCGCCGAAAACCTCCGCCACAAGTGACCTCGCTTCAGCGATCCATTTCGGGAGGCCGCGGGTCTGGAAGGTGGAGACCTGCGTGGCGCATTGCTCAGCGGCATACGCAGATATACGCAGATGAGAAGAGCCCATGCACTCAAAACCTGTGGAAACTCTCGACGCTAAACGCCACCCTGAACATACCTGCCTGGACTCCCAGAGCTCTCAAAGCCCGTGCAGTGTGCCGCGGCCCCAGATGTGGCACTGGTACGTCGAAAGATCGCCCAACGGCAGTGCCTGAGGCGAGCCTCAGAAGACCGGGCTTTAACTCCACAATGCCACCGTGTGTTTGTGAGAGAGAGAGAGAAAGAGAGAGAGAAAGAGAGAGAGAGAGAGAGAAAGAGGGCTGCGAAAGACCAAGTCGGCTGGACTGGAAGGACGTCTGATCTCTACTTTCGAAGTCATGTCTATTCAGCCTCCAATCTACAGAAAGCTGAACGACACGTGCTTCCGACAAGTCCGAAAGAGGACACGCAGGATCCGAAAGCCCTCAACGTGGACTGTCACTGCCAAGCCTTGCCAGCGATACGGCCAGCGGCTGCAGGGTTTGCTGGTCGAAGTCTCCTGGGGCAAACCATCTTCGGCGATCCGGATCGCGACTCTTTTCGGATCATCCTTCAACCCGAACGAACACCAATTCCTTCATTTTCCACGTATCAATTGGCTGGACGAACTCAAGCGCATGTGGCGTCTAGCCTAGCCGTCAGATCAGAGCAGCACATTTGATATATCTTGGTCTGCTGGGGTGCCCCGTGCTCAGCCAGCAGAGCAGCCTAAAGAAGAGAAGCGAAGCACCCTGACTCTTGCGAGGCCTCGCGTCTGCAGGGGGCCGAGGATGCCAATGCAGTCGATCAGCTGCGGCCTGCAGGCGTGCGGCAAGACAACTGCATCCATATGGAATGATGAGGCCTTTTCTCCCACGATTCTTGGCATGACGAACACTACTTATGAACAGTAAATGTGTTAGATCGGAACTAAAACTATCCCTGGCGGCGCTCCAGGTCGAACAGATTGGGGGAAAGCCCAGGCCTCCCGGTCTGTTCGAGGTCGCCGAGGCGCCCTGCCGCCCGCCCAGCCAACTCCTCCACCTGCATGCGCTTGCCTGGGCTGGGCTGCAGCAATCATGCTCGACAAGGATGCGAAGTGGGAAACTGGAAGGCTGTTCCAACTCAATCATGCAACAGGAAGGAGATGACAGCAAATGAAACAGGCTAGTGATAATGGCGAGGATTAGGATGCCACTGATGGCCATCACCACGATGATTCAAATGTGTCCATTGTTTCTGATAAGTCTTGATATTACTGCATCTCATTCTGACTCTGACCCGGATTTTCGTCACTCTGCGGAAGGCGATGAAGACGGCTGATAATCGGGAGGATGAGGATTACGATGACCATGATGATGCTGACAGTTCGGATCACTATGAGGGCCGGTGATGCTCGACTAGTGATGATGAGGATGATTTCGGTGACGATGACAGTGGCGAGGAGGAGGAGGAGGAGGAGGAGGAGGAGGAGAGCTGGTAGTGATGACGATCATGCTTATGGGGAACCAGAGGAGGATGAGAACAGTGACAGTCATGGCAGACTAGTGCTGCTGATGGCAATTCTGCTGATGGCTATACTATAGCGATATCGCTGTTGAAACAGGTGATAACGATCACGATGACGCGATGAAGGCAGTGGCAGAGATGAGAATCATGTCGATGCTGACCTGACAGTCCTGGGCCTAATGCTAGTATTGGTACTGATGAGGACAACCAATCCAATGGTGTCGAGCTAGAGGGGCTGTAATCACATCAATAGCAACTGACATGATGATGGCCAGCACACAGGGTAGAATGACAACGATGAGTGTATTGCCGCAGATAGAAAAAATTGACAGTGGAGCTTCGCAAGTTACGGTGGCCGAGTGCAGGCAACCTCCGGGGTCGCTGCCGAAGGTATCCAGGCACCAAAGGATCTTTGTCAGCGCTTCTGCCTTGTCGAACTTCCAGAGCGGACATTCGCTTCGAAGCCCTTTTTGCTACTCCGACTCCGATAACTATCGGCTTGCCTGAAACTTGATGAGGTCGGATGTCACATCGAAGATGGCTGCTAGGCACCTGCAAAGCAGCTGAGGTTGCTCAGATGTTGTTTGCAGACTTGTTGATATTGTAAGTTCTGCTTTGGTGTGCAAGGTTGGCCGATGCTCCGGGATATCCACAAGGCGAAAGGGCCTGGCCTTTCCGATCTGAAGCGCAGAGCCGACAAGGCTTCGGCCACCTGGGGCCGGGTGCAAAGCGAAGACTTGGCACAAGGCAAACTCGCGACTCTGGATACTGCCTATCTCTTATACACAGAGCGCTACACCGCTTCACACACCCAAACAGCCGAAGGCTTTTGAAACCTGCAGCTTCCTACCAAGAGCATGCTGGCTAGCACTACGTCTGAGCTGTCGTTATCGAAGTTCCACACCTCACCCACCGCGCTGCTGTCGTAGGTGTGGAGCGACTGCGACAGGGCTGTAGTCAAGGCCTGGCATGCGACTGCGGACCAGATCCTCTCGCGGACTTCGGAGCTCAGAGCGCAGGCGTGCCTCCAAAGCGGGCAGAGGCCCGACACCGCAGCCCGCAAGGTCGCTGAGGAGTTGGGGCAAGACTGGGAGCGGCAACTCCTGGGGTGCGCAGCTTTTCAACTGCGCATGCTTTCACTCCAAGCATACATCATACACCAGCCCAAATTCTCCAACATGCGAATTCCTTTGTCAAACGTCTCCTCGATCCTGTTGGTGATGCTCACGCCTTGTCTCTGCTTGCCCAGGTACGGCTCTTCTACACAAGAGTCAAAGAGGCGTGAGTGACTCAGAGCCAGGGCACTCAATGCGCCAACCAAGGCTGGCTGCCGCAGGCCTTGAAGATTCGGCTGGATCGAAGGAAGCGATTCACGATAACGATGCTCATGCCGCTGCTCAACTCTCAAATCTTTAACATCCTTGAAAAGCCAACCTTCGACGGTGTAACTTTCGCGGACGTCGCTAGCATCATTATGCATGGAGCCACCTAATCATGATTCAAGTGAATTAGCGCCGTTCTTGTCATCATCATTGGTAGTAACAGCATCATCAACGACTCACAAAGGCTACCAAGGCGCCCAGCTTTCGAATTGCTGCTAGCGCTCGGTGGAGAAGCCGAGCTCGAAAGGCACGCCGCCGGGCCAACGCGTGCAGGTCCTGGTCGTCCATTCGCTTAGGGTTGCCTAAGACTGGATGTGTAGGGTTTACATAACTCCGGCATTTTGGGTGCATCCTGGGAAAGGAGCGATCCTGCAGACACAGCCGACACGAAAGCAGGGAAGGCAGAATAGCACCGTACCGGTGAGGCGACTCGTCAAGCGAATCTATTGCAGTACAACACTGCGAATCGCTTGAGCGTGGCGGCGGCTTGGATAAGTGTGTATAAATGAACATTTCCTGGGTATATTGGCATTTTCGGGCCGGCACATGCCGGGAAGGTCAGGAGTTAGTGTCAGTGATGCGCTCAGAATTGCTCAGAGTCGTCGATACCACCCAGTGTTTTTGCCAGTGTTGACAGTTGTTGCAAACTTCACTCACAAAAACCAGAAACTTGGCGGGAATGTGCCGGCCGGAAAGCGCCACTTCACCCCACAACGGGCCATAAAAGAACAAGTCGCAGCAGGCAGCAGCATGTGCAACCCCAAGGTTCCCTATGGATCACCGTGCAGACTTGTCAGAAAGCGGGGCAGATGCGTGCGTAATGAAGCAATGCCTTTCAAGACTATCTACACGAAAGTCTCCATGCTGCCAACTGACCTTAAAACTGCTGCCAGAAACCAGTGCCAATGGTCGAGACAACCCATCTGCACTGCGCAAAAGCCTTCTCAATATGCTGGACAAGGAACCTTCAGGGTAGGGGGGAGAGGTGGCGACCTCAAAGAGAGGGGAGGGGTCTCCCCACGTTACTATCCAGTCATGCAGCCAAATAATAAATCAATCATGTCAGTGGCGCGGAGCCGCCGCCTCCCAACCCCCCCCCAGCCCCACCTGAACTATTGCTAAACGACTTGATACAGACCCACACGTGGGGGTTGTGGCCTGCTGAAGTGAATTAGTAGCTCCACAGAGCTGGCTTTCGTGCTAGAGGCAGAGGTACACGCTGCGAAGAGAACGGCATGACAGTTCGATGTGAGCACCTTTACCCTCAAAATCCCTTCGCCGCCCAAGACAACCACACACGTCCACTGTGAGTAGGGTATACTGCGTATGGTGCCACAGCAGGCCCTGAGCCGCAGGCAAAGACCAGTCTCGCAAAGCGCATGTCGCGTTGGACGCTCGCTCGATCAGGATGCTTGGCAATGGCCTGGCGGAATTCTCCTAGACCCTCGGGTTCAAACATCGGTATCTCTGGCAGGTTCACAGCACGCACTTTGGACGGAATAGGCTTTGGCATTCTACGCCATCGACCTGTTCTGGGCAGGGAATTCGGGTTTCAGTAGGTTTTCACTACTCACAGCCTCGAGGGCTGCGACGGCGCAAGTCGCATCCAAGCTGGCCGAGAACTTGAGCGTGAGGGCAAGTATCTGCCAAGCAAGATACAGTTCTTGGATTCAGGACAATTCGTTGTTGGCCCGAGACAAGATTACAGCAGCAGGGCGGCACTTTCAATCGTAAGAACCATGTCGGTGAAAGATGAGAGTAGTACAGGTAGCAGTAGGAGTAGTAGGCAGTAGCTCCAGCACGAAGTCTTGAGAGTCGTACCGGCAGTGGTTGTAGGGTACTGCTGCTGTCGTCGTGGGTCCGGTGGCGCTGGCATTTGTGGTGCAGGGTCTGGTGCGAGGATTTGCACCTATCCCCCATCATGGCTGAACATCTTGCAGCCACGCTGAATCACGGCTACCCTCGCAGTGAAACCGCAAGCCGGAAGCAGGCTCAAAGCTCCTCGCCTCAAACGGCGCTTGAGCCGCTGTCAGCCGAGTCAAAAGCTCGGAGGCCATGTGCAACGCAGGGAAGCCATCACGGCGTCGTGCTTTGGGGATTTGTGGTTTGGGGAGTGACAGTGTTAAGGATTGGGGCTTCAGGGTTCATAAGCTGGGACAAACCAGAATGGTTGTGACCAAAAACCGCAGACCTGACAAGACATAGGCGCTCAACGATGTGGAAATACGCACAATTCTTGGACATCCATGACACAGGCTTCGGAATCGAATTCGAAAGCCTGAACAATCTGCCGCAGATCTAGCAGGTAACTGGGTGGATGCTTGGTGTAGTACCGACGATGCCCGAGGCAACTTGCTGCCAGGACCCCTGCAACGAAAATGGCGGAAATTTTTGGGTTGTGCGGCAGTCGCGATCTGCTCTGCTCCGAGGGTGGTCCCGAAGGGTCGTTGAAAAAGTTCTGGACTTCGCAAGCCAGGGCTTCTGCTGTGTCGCAAAGGCCCCTTTCTCTGTCTCTACCCCTGCACATATACATATATATATATATATGTACATATATATATATATACATATATATATATATACACAGTTATATACATATACGTGTGTGTGTGCATATGCGCATATGCATGTCTCTATATCACATGCGTAGCACTGTGTATATACATACGTATCTGTATCTATACCGAAAAATAACTGTATATTATGCACATCTTTCTCGGACGGCGTGTCTTCTGTGAATGCCACGTGCACATGAACTGGAAAATATACACATACATACATACATACATACATACACCCACGCATGCATGCATACTTACATACATACAAACACATATGTGTATGTACATTACCTTTTTTTATATATACACACATGTATATCTACATATGTACATATAGATATATATATATGTACATATTGTATATACATATACATATATAGAATGGTGTGCGTGTGTGTGTGTATATGTACACGTATATGTATATGTTCGTATACACATCCGTAGCCATTTTGGCTCAAGCCTAGGGCTCAGAAAACAGGCGACAGCGCCTGATTGCCGTAGCCCCAGGCCCCCATGCCATGGCCCTACAGGGAAGGGGGGTCGCTCAGAAGCCACGGCAGAGGAGTTCGCGGCTGGCTTCAAGAAGACGGCTTTCGCACGGAGCTGGCGATGAACAACCAGTTGACCACTCGTTTCAGGACCTATTTCCTGTTGGATGCGGCAGATGTCTCTGCCCTGGCAGGTGTCTTTGGTCTCTTAAATTTGGTCCCATACCTTTGCGCCCACTTTGTTGACGTACTCTGCCCCGGTCATCTCGGCTGAGAAGGATTACCATGAGCACCAGTGGGGAATGCTGCTGAACCGACTGCCTCATTGCCCCCTAAGTGGCGTGAACGTGGATATCACTGAGTCTCAGGCCAAGCTGGTCCTATACCCGCGCATCCACTTCATGTTGATGTCTTATGCCTCGGTCTTCACGGCTGCGAATGCTTACCTTGAGCACCAGTGGGGAATGCTGCTGAACCGACTGCCTGATTGCCCCCTAAGTGGCTTGAACGTGGATATCACTGAGTCTCAGGCCAAGCTGGTCCTATACCCGCGCATCCACTTCATGTTGATGTCTTATGCCTCGGTCTTCACGGCTGCGAAGGCTTACCTTGAGCACCAGTGGGGAATACTGCTGAGCCGATTGCCGGATTGCCCCCTGAGTAGCTCGAACTTGCTGGAACGTAAGAGTGCTCGACATATGTATGTGTATATACGAAGCAAGTTGGCAAGTCAGACCTGCCAACTCCTTGGCCGTGCGAGCCCTCCTCAAAGATGTGACATTACACCATTTGGCTCTGCTTTTTCGATGTGTACACGCTGTCACTGCACATTCGGGAATGCTTGAGTGAGCATAGTTCTTTTGAAGTGTGGGGCATGCTAGCTTTGTTCTTGCCTCTCCCAGCCCCTGGAGGAATGCTCAAAGCTGGACCGCAGGGAAGTCTGATGATCAGCTCTCCCTGTTGTCGTTTGTAGGTTTGTTGCTGGCTTCGTGGTCGTTCATGGGCCAGCTTTTGTTGTTGTCACGCTTTTGGAGGGTTCACGCTCCCGAGCCTGATTGCGTGTGTCAGTGCTTTTAAATGAGAGGCGCTCGGATTGGCCAGACAGCTTTTAGCCCTGGAAGTGGCTGCTGGGTTCATCTGGTGATCCTTTTTCGATTTTGCCTCTCATCGCAGATTTCTGCGCCACGGGCCCTAAAGGACTGTGAGCGCATACTGCTTTCCAATCTAATTAGGTGCTTGTTGAATTCTTATGCATGTGGCGCGTCCTCAGGACCCCAAGCCATCGAGAAAGAAAGTTCGTATACATGTATACATGTACTATCTATAAATAGTCTATAAAACTACATACATATGTATATAAAAATACGTACACTACGCATGTAGATCTTCATATCTATAAACTATACCTATATGTGTACATATATATACATATGTACACATACGTACAGATGTAATATACGTTACATACATAAATACATACGCATATATGTTGGCGTATGTGTGTCTGCATCTGTGGGTGTGGGTGCGCGGGTGCGTCAGGTACCATTGATACCTGTATCTATATCCGTCTCAACCGCTAGTTGCATCTCTTTCTCGGTCTCTACATCTGACTCCACATCGAAATTTGTAACCATATCTATACCTATATCCACTATATACTCAGTCTACATAACATGCGAATGCATATTTGTGTGGGTCGGTGTATGTGTGTATGTGTGTATATACATACATACGCATATATATATATATATATATATATATGTATATATATATATACATATACACATATGTGGATATATACGAACATGTGCGTACACATGCAGGGAGAGAAAGGTGCATGTGATGCTGCTTGTGCGTGTGCACATATATACATATATGGAATTTAGATTTGCGGTGTTTTTATGTGTGTATATATATGGGTATATAGAACTGTATAGACTATATAGACTATACATACAATATTTACTTTATATACCTACTACATTTACTATATATACTTTTTATACTATATATACGACACAAACTATATATACTACAAAATACATACAT